GTTGATGCCAACTACTTCTGCAGGACCATGCCATGGTCTTGCCTGAGGATCACCATCAGTGATGCAGGTTGATGACTACTACTTCTGCAGGACCATGCCATGGTCTTACCTGAGGATCACCATCCGTGATCCAGTTTGATGCCAACTACTTCTGCAGGACCATGCCATGGTCTTACCTGAGGATCACCATCCGTGATCCAGGTTGATGCCAACTACTTCTGCAGGACCATGCCATGGTCTTGCCTGAGGATCACCATCAGTGATCCAGGTTGATGACTACTACTTCTGCAGGACCATGCCATGGTCTTGCCTGAGGATCACCATCAGTGATCCAGGTTGATGACTACTACTTCTGCAGGACCATGCCATGGTCTTACCTGAGGATCACCATCCGTGATCCAGTTTGATGCACTACTTCCTTTATGAAAGACATTAACATGGCTGCTCCAACTTACATGTATGAGAGTGTAGCAGCTGTAAGCCAATCAAAATGGAGAGTACACAAAACAAGAGAGCCCGCCTCCTATTATTTACATCATAGAGGAAGTGTTGTGTCCCAGTGTGGATCAATGGTTGGGTCATCAAGCTGCGGAACCCTGATTGGCATCCCAACTTCCCAGTTGGTTCAGTCTGGTTAAAACTGGAAAGTGCCATATTTTGGGAAGTCACAACTTTTAAGAAGAGGAATTCCCAGTGTATTTTCTAAACTAATACAAAAATTAAACAGGGGACACGTTTTTAAGACAATATTTGGAATCAATATATTGCAATATAACAGAATATACTTCAGGTCAACGCTTAACCAGTATCACGTCTTCCTCCATAAACCTCCACCATTTTATGCTCTGCGACAGTCCAAGCGAAACGATACAGTTCCAGTCCCCTATATAAAAATGTATAACAAAACGGTCCTTTTATAATCGTCTACAAAATGTGTCAATATGACACGTCTGGTACAAAATACAAAAAAAGAAGTATTTACAGTCTGCTGAAACACGAGAGATCTGCAGCGTTTCATCAAACGATTCGCAAACCCCCAGCAGGTTTTTTTGGTAAGTTTGTGACCCACGATGACGAATACAAAAAAACGGAGACATATTTACACGAGTGAGGGGGATGTCATTTACACCCTTCAACCACTAGGGGGAGGGGGCAATTGGTAAAACGGAGTGAGCGTGATGCGGGTTTTGGTTCGGAAGTGCAGCTATTGCAGAGAGGAGCACTCAGGTTCCTATTAATTACTATGAATGAATATATACAACTCGTTTCTTTTCAGTTAAAAAAATGAAGTTGTAATTGTGCCATACTATTATTAAATATGGTCATCAGAGCAGAGACAGCCTTGTAAATCATACAAGGAACTCCAGCAATTTTGTTATTGCCATGTCCCCCCCCCAGTAGGGAGATTTTCTTTCACTTCCTGCCACCATATGCATCTCCTGGACATAAAGTGAGGTGAATGACCCCAATGGTGACACAGATGGCAAGTTTTGGCTGGAGCTCCCCAGTAGTTGGAGGGCTGTAAGTTACCAAAGTCGAGGTTGACGCATCAGTTCCGGCTGGTGCCCAGCACCATCTACCGGAGAATACAATGCTACAGTATTAGGAAAAAAAGCTGATTCTTTGGAAATGGTTATTATGAATTTGGAATTCTAATTTAACATAATGAGAGTATGTGAGATTACCCCCTCCGATACATTTTAATCCAGCAGATAGGTCAAAGTGCGACCAAAACGCAAAATCATTTTTCTTTGGCTACACAATAGAGAGGAAGGCCACCTAAACTGAATCTCTACAAGTGAATGTCAGGAGGAAGGAAGTTCCATGAAACAATAGAAGGCCACCAAGGTAAGAAAATTAAAAAAACAGTCCTACAAATTATACTTCTTTATATACAGAAATGGCTTTAAAGTCCGAACTAAGAAGGGCCAACACGGATAAGACCCACTTCCCATATTCGCTATATTCTGAGTGATGGAGATGAGCAGAGAAGACGAGTGAGATCCAAATGTCTGGAGGTGTCTTTCTGTGCAGCTACAGGAAGAAATCTGAATATTGCCGATAGTGAGTTGCATGCAGACGCCCCGCACTGAAAGACACCTGATTGGCTGCTCTGGTTTACTGCACTTCATAGGCTGCTTTGTACATAGCTGTGAGGTATGATCCCGGAACAACCGAGAGTCAGGCCAAATCTAACCATTTGTAGCAGGTCTATTGACTTGGCTTAATTTTGGAATGACTCCCAGTGAATCACACCCGTGTCTTTGGCCTGAATCTCGAATCCTCTCTAGGGTCATGTCTGTTACCAGCTATGATCATACATTGTACTGTACAGAAACCTTAAGCCCTGCCATACATGGTTTGCATTTAGGCCAATTCTGCAATCGGCCAAAATTCAAAACAATGGTTGGCCCTTTTGGTACCACTTGGCTCCACAAAGTCTATTGAACAATCGAAGAAGCCGCATGGTCGGCCGACCAGTGACCGCAGCTAACCAGATGCAGTCAGTGTTCAGGAATTCAGACAGCTGCAGACGTTGCCACTGTCTGAGTACAAAATCCATCCGGTGGAGATTCCTCCATCCACGGTGGTTTGCATGGATCGGGGATTTTCTCTCATTCAGCCTGCGGGCTGAACAAGAAGAGTCTACACATGTATGGCCAGCCACAGTGTTCGGATTGCTGCACTATGGAGAAAGCCTGGACAAGTATTCATATGGCAGATGTAAGAATGGGAAAGTGGAGAATAAAAATGTTCACTATGAGAATTTTACAATGATTTCAAGTCTTAAGACGGGAAGCAAATTATACCCAAAGCTGACATTTCAGTCTTGAATGGGCACTTGGGTTGAACCACAACCGACCTTCATGCCTATGAGACTTCAGTATCACCGCAGTAGCTGATGACTGGATTCAAACCTTTCCATAATTACTTGTGTGCCGTCATACCTCCACTTTTAAAAACATGCGTTTTAATCCACCTATACCAGTAGGTTCTGTAACGTGTGACGATGCATCAAGAACAGACAATGCATGTCACAGACCATGCATGTCAACACATTGCACAGATGTGAACCAGCCCCATCTGGAATGATGGCTAATCTGTGTGTTGACTACTGATAGGTATAAATCATCCCTAGATCTTCCTCTTCCACCATAATGAAGGGTCTCCCCCACAGCTGGACAAACTTTACCGAGGATCCACTAGAAGAGAGAGACACCATCATTCAACTGGCCACTAGAGTCCTCAAGATGCACAAGAGGAAGTCGGCATGTGATGCAACCAAGACACCTGAAATATCAGTTCGTGTTGGAGATAAAAAAGTGTACCTGTCACCTACGCCATTTTGGAGGAAAACAAACTATCCAATCAGTTCAGCAGGAGCCAACCGTCCGTGGAATACAGTGAATGGGCATAGAACTATATTTGCAGCAGAACTATTCATTGAGTGGGAGTCAAATATCTAATGTCCTAAAAAAAAGACTTCAAATGATGTCACCAACAATGCTTTGTGGGGTGGATAGGTGCAGCTTTTGAATAGATATTGCCCCCAAAAAAGTGTATAAAATCCTATTTGTTGTGTTCAGAATGACATTCAAAGCTCAGACAAAACCCGATCCTCCAACCGTCCGTGGAATACAGTGAATGGGCATAGAACTATATTTGCAGCAGAACTATTCATTGAGTGGGAGTCAAATATCTAACGTCCTAAAAAAAAGACTTCAAATGATGTCACCAACAATCTTGAGGATCAGCAGAGGGATAGCGTGGCAAGATGTCCAAGGTGGTCAGCACTGTTGGAGAATGATGGCCGCCGTGGTAACACGCTGCAATGATCTGCTACGGTCCCATCTGTATGGCTGCCAGATGTCCATATTTTATAACAGACGGGGCAAATTTTGGGGAAATTTGGGAAAAAATGAATTGGTTCATCAGTGCCCTTTTCTCTTTGTACATACTGTTGATCCTGCTGAACGGATAGGTCGTACCTCCAGCTAACACAATGACCATCGGTGGTAACTACTGGTACACAGTTACTCAAGTTTGTGAGTATTTTAGCCACATGAAAGTGCCATTTCCTAATCCAAACTCGGCAGACAAAAACAATCTAATTTTAAGCCCAATCAATATATTAACGAATCACTAGCCATACACCCCCTCCAACCATGTGCAGCAAACATTCATCCTTGTAAGGCAATCATATTGCATAGTATCCCTAACCAGTGCCGTCTACAGACTCTTCTCCATCTGCTGCGCCACCACGTGGATTAGTCTTCAGCAGCTACGTCGTTATCACTAGTGCTCAGCAGAGGACGCCTATATACATACAGTCCACTTCCATACCGCCAGATTCCAGCTTCCTTTATATAAAAGGTTTTGCCTGAAACATATTGTGGGGGG